CAAACCAAACCACCCAGAAGTATCACCCCAATTGCAACAAGGGCCTCGTTCAGGCTACGTCTTCATTGTGTTATTAGGCTTGGGGGTGCCGTTCTATTCTCGATGGGCTGGGGGGGAAGGGGGGGCGACGGCGGGGGAACTGGACTCGTGAGCGCAGCCCCGGCCAAGGAGAGTCCAACACAAATCTCCCGAGCTCGGCCGGGCAGGGTGAGCTTCGCTGCCCCGGCCCGGCCGGAAGGAAAGAGGCGCCCGGCCCGGAAGAGGAAACCACTGCACGAGCATGGGCCTCCGGAACTCCGCCCGCGCACTCCCTGGATCGGCGCCGGACGCCCGCTGGACGGCGCCTGCGGCGCTCCCCCTGGCGCGCTATACGCGCGCCAGGGGGGGGGGGTCCTGACTACCTACCAGACCACCCCCAACCCAACCCGAAGGCCCGAATTTCGGGTTGGGGGGGGGTACGGGTTTCAGATGTGTTGTTTCAATGTTCCCCCCCCCCACCCGAAATGGAGGGCAAATTGAGGCCTTCGGGTTGGGTTGGGGTGGTTTGGTGGGTGGTGAGGTCCAGCGCCGACCCGGGAAGTCCGCGCGGAGCTGCGAAGCTTCTGCCCTGTGCAGCTTCGCTGCTCTTCCGCCTGCTGGAGTCGGGCCGGGCGAAAGGGGGGGGACAGCAAAGGGGGGGGGATGAGAACCAGCTCCCGCAGCTGCGTTTCCCGGCGCCTCCCGGCGCCGGAGGCGGCTCATGTATCGAGGAATGGGCCCCTCGGTAGGGCCGAAACCAGCTGCATGCAGCAAAGCTCGGCTACACGCAGGAGTGACCCTGGGTAAGAGTGACCTTTGGTGCGCGGCTTTGGGGGGGCCGCGGGGGGGCCAAACCTGGGCGCGCAAGGCGCTGCTACTGCCTCGTTCCCAGCCATCTGGGGACCCATCTGTGCCCGCACCAAAGGCCACTCCGGCGAAAGGTCACTCTTACGTCTAGTCGAAAAGTTTGTAACTCCCCCTTTCCCAATCCCCCCCTCTCGTCCGGCCCCATGGAGGCAAAAATCAAATCAGCGAATATAGCATTAACGCGCTCGCGCACGTACTCACAACCCTCGCGCGCCGGGCCCGCGCCGGGCGCCGGAGGGGAGGCCCGCGGCCGCGCGTGCACGGCCTGCAGCCCAGGTCCTTCTCCTCCTCCTCCTCCTCCTCCTCCTCCTCCTCCTCCTCCTCCTCCTGGCGTGGCGTGGGCACCTCCTCCTCCTCCTCCTCCGCCCCCTCGTGGTGTGGGCCGTGGCGTGGGCACTGGCTTCGGGCACCGCGCGGATCGGTCCAGCCCTGCACGACCGCGGCGTTCCCGGGCCGCCGTCGTGCTCCCAGGAGGAGGCGCCTCGGCCGAGGAGCGGCGGGGGGGCCCTCCTGGCCGGGGCCGGGCCCCCGCCGCGCAGCATCCGGTGCCCCGGGGCCTGGGCCCCAAAAGACGGCCCGAACACCAGGGTCCCTCTCTGACCACCTACTCCAGATTTCGTAATTAAAGGGAGGGGGGTCTCACTTCGGGGGGGGTCTCTTCCAGGCTATCTTGGAGGGCCTGGGGGGGTCTGGGAACGATGTTTTGGAGGGTTCTCCCACGGGGGGGGTCTAAAACTTTTCGCCTGGGAGGGTTGAGACCCCCTCCCTTTTATTACGAAATCTGGAGCACCTACCAAACCACCCCAACCCAACCCGAAGACCCGAATTTCGGGTTGGGGGGGGGGGGGTATAAGGGTTCCACATGTGTTTTGTCGACGTCTCCCGACCCCCCCCCACTGGAAATCGAGGGCAAGTTTGAGCCTTCGGGTTGGGTTGGGGTGGTTTGGTGGGCGGTGACTCTTGAGCCCAAAGCGGTTCTTGTTTCAGAGTCTTGACAGTACACCCTGCGAAATGCTCAAGAAATCATGGGTTAAGAAATTCACAGTCTCAGAAATTGAATAAAACCCAGAACTTCTATCAAAATCTTGGGATTTACATTGGAAAATTAAGAATAATCGAGACTCTGGACGAAAACTTGGGTTTTCTTAAGCATCGCCTAAGGTGTAGCGCAGGTCGTCCGATATCGGCTGATTCTGGGCCGCGGGTGGCGTTCCACCTTGGACGCCTGCGTCGACCCGACGCGAACCTGCTGCACAGGCTCCGGTGTCTGGACGAGGACAACATGTGCTCCAGTCCAGGGCCCAGTGTGGGCTCGACCAGCGCCCTCGGGGACAACGTGTTGTTCACCCCAGTCGATTTTCCCCATGGGCCACACGGGGCCGGACGCGAGCCTCCAGAGGCCCAAACCGTGGACCAAAACGCTAAGCCGTGACCCGTCTCGCGAAGACTGGAGGCCTGGGATGGCCGATCCATTTCCACCCCTTGCAGCGGACACGGGCCCCTTTCCACGCTCCCCCAGAAGTCCTGGCCCCTTCAATGCGGACGGCTGTTCCTCCCGAGCCGCCTCTTGCCCGAGCCCCGGGGCCCGGCGAGGGCCGCCGGAGGCCTGCATGCGGCGCGAACACCTCCGCAAAGGGTGGCGGGCCTGGCCTGGCTGTTGCACGAGGGAGTGCGAGGGCCAGGAGGAGCGGGGCGAGGAACGGGGGGGTCGTGAGGGTGTGCTGGGATTCACGTGGGGCCATCATGACCATCATGAGGAGACAAGGGGAGGGGGGTGCCCAGGGGGCGACGAGCGCACGGGGAAGCGACAACAAAGATGAGAGGCTCCAAGCTCTACACAGCCGCACGAGAGAATGAATGTGGTCGCCGTCCGTCGGGCCGTGCGGGGCCGTGCGTCGGGCCGTCCGTCGGGCCGTGCGGGGCCGTGTCGGGCCGTGCGGGGCCGTGTTCGCCGTCCACGCTCTACAAGTCCAAGGCCGCGTCGGGCCGTGCGTGTGAGTGCGTGAATTTGCGTCTGCGTATTAATGTATCACTGTGTATATGCCTGTGTGTGTGTGTCTTTGTGTGTGTGTGCGTGTGCGTGTGTGTAGTGTTGTGCGTGCGCAAGCGTGTGCGCGTGTGTGTGCGCGCGTGTGTGCGCGTGTGCGCGCGTGTGTGCGTGTGTGCGTGTGGACGTGTGTGTGTGTGTGCTTGTGTGCGTGTGTGCGTGTGCGTGTGTGCGCGTTTGTGCGTGTGTGCGTGTGCGTGTGTACGTGTGTGCGTGTGCGTGTGCGTGTGTGTGTGTGTGCCTGTGTGCATTTGTGTGTGTGGGTGTGTGTACGTGCCTTCATCTGAGTAGGTATGTGTGCGTGTGTGCGTGCGTGCGTGTGCGTGTGCGCATGTGTGCGTGCCAAGATGTGCGTGCGTGCGTGCGTGAGTGTGTGTGTGTGTGTGTTTGTGTGTGCGTGTGTGTGTGTGTGTGTCTGTTGTGAGCGCGTGTGTGTGTGTGTGTGGGTGTGTGTGTGTGTGCGTGTGCGTATGTGTCTGTGTGTGCGTGTGTGCGTGTGTGTGTGTGTATGTGCGTGCGTGCGGGCGTGTGTATGTGTGTGTGTGCGTGCGTGCATGTGTGCGTTTGCGCGAGTGCGCGTGTGCGTGTGTGTGTGTGTGTGTGTGTGTGTGCGTGAGTGTGTGTGTATGCGTGCGTGTGTGCGCACGTCCGTGCAAACGCGTGTGTATGTGTGTGCGTGTGCGTGCGTGTGCGTGCGTTTGTATGTGCGTGTGTGTGCGTGTGCGTGTGTGCCTCTGTGCATGTGTGTGGGTGTGTGTACATGCCTGCGTCTGAGCATGTATGTGTGCGTGTGTGCGTGCGTGTGTGCGTGTGTGTGTGCGTGTGTGCATGTGTGCGTGTGTGTGTGTGTGCGTGTGTGTGTGTGTGTGCGTGTGCGTGCGTGTGCGTTTGTGTGTGCGTGAGTGCGCGCGTGCGTGCGTGCTTGTGTGCGTGTGCGCGTGTGTTTGTGTAAGCGGGTGTGTGTGGGTGAGTGTGTGTGTGTGTGTGCGGATGTGAGTTTGTGTACGTGTGTGTATGTGCGTGCGTGTAGGTGCACGTGTGTGTGTGTGTGTGCGTGTCTGTGTGTGTGTGTGTGTGGGGTGTACATGTGTGTGTGTGCGTGTGTGCGTGTGCGTGCGTGCGTGTGCGTGTGTGTGTGTGTGTGTGTGTGCGCGTGTGTGTGTGTGTGCGTGTGTGCGTGCGCACGTGCGTGCGAAGATGTGTCTGTGTGTGCGTGTGGGTGTGTGGGCGTGTGGTTGTGTGTGCGTGTGTGTGTGTGTGTGCGTGCGTGTGCGTGTGTTCCTGTGTGTGTGCGTGTGTGTATGTGCTTGTGTGTATGTGCGTGCGTGTTTGTGTGTATGTGTGTGTGTGTGCGTGTGTCCGTTTGTGTGTATGTGCACGTGTGCGTGTGCCGTGTGTGCGTGTGTGTTTGTTGTCGGTTCGTCTGTGCGTGCGACGGTGCATGTGTGTGTGCGTATGTCTATGTGTGTGGGTGCGTGTGTGCGTGCGTGTGTGCGTGTGTGCGTTTGCGTGTGTGCGTGTGTGGGGGTTTGCGTGTGTCTATGTTCGTTCGTGTGTGTGTGTGTGCGTGTGTGCGTGTATGTGCGTGTGCGTGTGTGTGTGTGTGTGTGTGTGTGTGTGTGTGTGTGTGCGAGTGGTGTGTGTGTGCGTGTGTGCATGTGTGCGTGCGTGCGTCTGCGAGCGTGCGCGTGTGTGCGAGTGTGTGTGTGTGCGTGTGTGTACGTGCGCTTGTGTGCGTGTGTGCGTGTGCATGTGTGCATGTGCGTGTGTGTGTGTGTGTGTGCGTGCGTGCCTGCGTGCGTGCCTGCGCGTGAGTGTTTCGTGGCCGTCCTCCGCGCCCGACCGGCTCGGAGCGCCCCTTGAGGCGTCCGCGCGGCGGCGCCTTCGGGGGGCAGCTCGATCAGGCGCCGGCCGCCGCCCGCCTGGTCGATGGCCGGGTGCCGCCGCCGGTCGCCTCTCCGAGACCCCAGGGGGGAAGAAACGGAGGCTCACATACACGGCGTGGCACAGTCCGTCTACAGCCAAAATGCATAGGAAGGATGTAAGGTAAGGGTGCATGACCCCTGGAGGTTCCATACAATAGAGGCCCCTGGACGTTCACGCTGGCTCAGGCTGGGCCGAAGAACCAGTGATGTAAGGGTCCCCCTGATGAAGCAGCGCATCCTTACCATGAAGTCTGTTTGTAGGAACAGAGCGGTGGCACCGTGGCGCTGAGTGTTCGAGACAGAGACGGCGACTCCGACGGGTGTGGTTTGCACACGATGTGGCTTGCAACCAGCACCTGAGGGGCACCCTTGGGGGGGGAGGACCTCGACAGAGCTCTCGCGCCCCGAGGAGGCCCGACGAGGACAGCGTCGTGCTCCCCAGGCCCCAACGGTGCCGATCACACACCCCACACACCAACGTAACGACGCCCTTTGTGGTCGCCGACAGAGATGGCGAGGTCTGCATCCGCTCCTGGGGGTGGCGGACGCAGGTCTCCTCTCGCCCTGGGGGAAAGACATCGGCGACGTCGGGTTTCTGGCCAGGGCGGCCCTCTCCGAGGCCCCAGGGCCGTCATAAGACGACTCGGCACGAGGAAGCGACCCAGAGGTGGAAGCAAACGTTGCAGTGACCAGACAAACAAACAAGAGACGGCGTCGGAGATCTGGGGATGCGCGAGGACAGCGGGAGGCGGCGGGAGGGGGGGGGGCGGGGGGGGGGGGCGATTTCTGGAACGCGAGTCTGGCTCGACCACTTGCTGGGCAAGGGAGACCAGCATGAGTACTACCCCCAGCTGTGACAACGAGACAAATGGCAACGACGGGCAACTGGAAAAAGCATCCTACCACGCTGTGCTGGTATGGGGTGGTGCGAGACAGCCTGGCCTTCCTCCGACGCTCACACGATTACACGATGACAGCACACTGCCAGTGCAATGCGGGAGGGGGGAGGAGAGAGTGGAGGCCTCCCAAATGGGGGCCAAGCAGATGGCGGCGCGATCCTTCGACCCCGTCTTCTCGGACCCCATTGGGGAGGCCTGAGGAAGGAGGATGGTGTTGGATTGCGAGTCGGACGGTCGGACGGAGACGGGGTCAGGGGAGGAGCAGGGTGGAGGCAGGGGGGCGAGGGCGGGGGGGATCGGATCGGATCGACTCGGCAGGAGGGAGCGTCGAGAACCGCAGCGCCGTCTGGGACCCTATGTGTAGAAAGGCCACAGGGCTGGAGCATGATATTCAACAGAAACGGCCTGGCAGTGCTCATATGCCTCCCCGTTCGGGTAACGGGGGGAGGGGGGGAGGGCGAGAAAGGGGAGGAGGGGGGGAATTGGGGGAAGGAGAAAGCAGGTGGGTGTAGCGAGGAGGAGTGAGGGGTGAGATGCAAAGGGGAGGGAGGTGGAGTAGGGGTAGGTAATGGTTGGGGAAAAGGAAGGATTGAGTATCTCGAAGAAGTGGGCGGGGGAGAGAGGATAGGAGGAGGAGGCGTTAAGAGTGATGCGGATTGAGAAGGCAGAGGAAGGCGGATGAGTATGATGAGGTGTAAGAAGTGGACGCGGAAGAGAAGACAGAGAGGTCAAGTATAAGGAGGAGACGCAGGAGTGAGGAGGATGTGGAGGAGCAGGAGGAGGAGCAGGAGGAGAACCAGCAGCAGAATGGAGGTGGTGGAGGAGCGAGGAGGTGGAGCAGAAGGAGGGAGGGGTCCTCGTCCAGGTCCAGGTGGCCACCGCAGGCTCCCAGGGGCAGCGTCACCTCCAGGGCAGACGGACCGGGGGGGGGAGGGGCCGCGCACCAGCCACACTTGGCAGGCACGAGACACGTCCAGAGGGGAAGCTGGCCCTGCACCGCGGGGCCTCCACCCAGGGACCGACTTCTTCCGTCCTGGGTCGGTCACTGATTCGCAGCCCCAGGTAAGAAGCGGCCAGGACGAGGATAGAATCGGGTAAGGACACATCGAAAATCTTTGAGGTCTGGCGGCGCTGGAGGATGACTCGGGCGCCGCGGCTTCCCCAGAGCGTTCCGGAACGCTCTGGAACGGATTTGCAGACAACCCGTATAGCAACGGCGCAGGATTCAGATGCAAGGGCCCTGGAAGGCCAGGTCGACGCTTTGCGGGCGGGGCGCGGCCAGCGAAGGCGGCCAAGGATGGGCCGGAGGGGCAGGACGCAAGGGGCAACCTCGGACAGTGGCTCCTCCTTGCTGTGCGACACGTCGGTCTCCTCGCCCTTGCCACGAGACACCCTTGTGCTTCCCGCGCGAGGGTAGCAGGGCCTCGCGGCTCGCTCGTCCCGCGGGCGCTGCCCCGCCCCCTCCCAGCACGTGGGCCGGAAGCGTCCGCGAAACTCCTCCGCCGCGGCGCTGGAGCTCGCGCGCAGCTCCTGGGCAGCGCCCACGCTGCCTCCGCTCGCGGGGGCCCGCTCGCTCCACGGCGACGCGTGCAGCTGGCTCCGACGCGCGCCTCGAGGCGCCAGACGCGACCGAGGGGAGTGATGGCACGAGGGGCCGAAGAAGCAGCTGCGCGCACGGCAGCCCTTGCCTCCCCCTCACAGAGAAGGACCGACGCGCAGCTAGCTCCACGGCGTGAGACGGAAGACCGCCGGACAAACTGGGCACGTCGCACGAGACGCCGCCAAGAGCGCGGAACGCCCCTGGAGGGAGGAGCACGAGCGGGGAAGACAGCGAACGGCAAGCAGGAGGCCGCGGAGAGACACCCAGCCAGGAGAGCAGGCGTGGCCACAACTTCTCACCCCACGCTTGGGCCCCCCATGGGGCCCTCTGGGGCTCGTGAGGGCTGCTGCGGAGGCCACGGGGCCCCCCAAAAGACATCCCGGGGGCACCTTCCTCGGCCCAGAGACACCTCTGGCACCGCCCGGCTATTCTTTCCCCACCCCGCACCACCCCGACACGTCCTACGTCCTGCCCTCCCTGTCCATAGGCCGTGGAGCCCCCCCCCGGCCCTTTTCCGGCACCGGTGAGCCGCTTCAAACAAGGCACCACCTAAGCCAGGGCTTCGGAGCACACGATCCTTCATGGGCAGCGCCTCATCAGGCCCAAAGAGGCCTTCCGAGAGACACTTGGGGGACCTCTGACGGGCCTCCAGTTCATGACCCAGGCACGGCGGCGGGGCGGGCCAAAGGCCGCAAGATCTAAATGCCCCAAATCGTCCGAAGACGGCCCCAGAGTGCCCCTCCCCAGTGCTCCCTAGCGGTTTCCCCAACGGCCGGGGCAACACGCAGCACCTTCGCGCGACGCTTCCCTTAGCGGTAAGCCTGGGGGCGAAGTAAGAGGAGGCGGGGCTCTCAGAAGGCTCGGATGTCCCCGAGCCTTCTGAGCAGTTGTCTAAGCCTTTCCCGAAGACGCAGAAAACTTCCCAGAAGGTCAGAAGGCTCACCGCCTTCTGAGAGGGTTTTCTCCTTTTCACTTCCCCCCCTCGCTCGCCACCGATTCACGAAACAAGCGGTTCCGGCAAAGCTCGATTATCCTCAGAGCTTGTGTTAGCGCCAATGTGCGCATGTCCACAGAAACGCTTCAATACGATGCATGAGGTGCGACGATGGCCGACACAGGCTGCGTGCTCGGCAGAGGTGGACGGGATAAACACCATGGGGCTGACGGGCTAACACACGTCCTGAGGATCATCGAATATGCCATGGGTCCTGACGAAAAATAGGTCCTGGGCCCCAGGGCTTTCCTTTGGGACCAGCTTGTCATCCCGGAAAATGTCTTGACGGTCCTGGGGCCCTGGGAGGGCTCAGGGATCCCAAAAATTGAAAAACCTCCACGACCCGTAGCTTTCGGGACCTTCATTTCTGGTGAGGAAAGGCAGGTGACTCGCCGTACGGATGTTCACGTCGCGACGACTTGCGCGTTGAGTTCGGAAACTGCGTTGGTCGTTCAACCTTGAACGACTACAGCTTTCCAATGGCGCCGCTCGTACAATATCGGACGAGTCCAAAACACAAGCGGCGTTCAACCTTGAACGCCCGCGCAAGGATCACAGCCGCGTCGACACGACGCGAACCTACCGTATGGGATCCCGTGACCTGGACAAGGTCTACATGTGCTCAAGTCCAGGGCCCAATGTGGGCTCGGCCAGGGCGGGTGGATGCCGAGACATCTGACGTCGCAGCCCCCCCAGAGATTTCATGGTGGACGATAGGGGGGACCAGCTCAACAGGGGGACATCGAGCTGGATTCGGCGATGCATCGCCGATAGATCGGCGACAGGACCCCGATGGGGAAACAACACGCTCCTGGGCGGGGTGGGCTATCAGGCCCCTATCGGCGACGAGGGGGCGATTTGGTGTCGATGCACTCCCCCCTGCGCCTACCCCACCCGAACATTGCCTCTGATCTCCGCCCGTCCTGGGACCCGTCTTTTTCACCCTGGCCTCTCTTCATGAGTCCGCGGGCCGCGAATGCGCCTCTGGAGGCCAACAGTGAAAGCTCGATTCGTCCCCGTTCTGGGGTGCCCAGCCCTTCAGGGGCACCGCGTCCGCGCCAGGGCGGCAGCAGGACCGCCCTCCTCCTGTTCCCCCTGCTCCTCCTCCTCCTCCTCCCCCTTCTCCTCCTCCTCCTCCTCCCTCTTCCTCCTCCTCCTCCTCCTCCTCCTCCTCCTCCTCCTCCTCCGCTTCCTCCCTCCCTCCCTCCCTCCCTCCCTCCTCCTCCTGCTCCTCCTCCTCCTCCTTCGCTTCCTCCTTCAGGGTCCGGGCCTTCAGGGGCACCGCGTCTGGGCCAGGCCGGCAGCGGGGCGAGCCGCCGGGGAACGCCGCTGGTGGCGCGGCGGGGCTCGGGTCCCGTGCCGAGGGGCCGCCGCTCGCGACCTCGGGTTGGGGCCTCTGCCTCCTGCCTCCTCTTCCTGCTCTGCCTCCTCCTCCTCTTACTCCTCTTCCCCCCTCCTCCCCTCCTCCTCCTCCTGCTCCTTCTCTCCTGCTGCCCTCTCTCCTCCTCCTTGCTTCCTCCTTTGCTTCCTCCTCCTCCCTCCTCTCCTCCTCTCTTCTCTCTCCTCCTTTCTCTTCTCTTTCCGTCGCGAAACCCCTCCCCCTCCTCCTCCTCCTCCTTCCTGCTCCTCCTCCTCTCCTCCTTCCTCCTCCTCCTCCTCCTCCTCCCCTTCCTCCCCCTTCCTCCCTCCTCTCCTCCTCCTCTCCTCCTCTCCTCCTCCTCCCCTCCTCCTCCTCCTCCTCCTCCTCCTCCTCCCCTCTTCCTCCTCCTCCTCCTCCTCCTCCATCCTCCTGCTCCTCCTCCTCATCATCCTCCTGACAATCATCATCATAATCAGCATCCTCATCATCAGCATCATCATCATCATCAGCAGCAGCATCATCGTCGTCATCGTCGTCATCATCGCCAGCATCATCATCATCATCATCATCATCATCATCATCATCATCATCATCGTCATCATCATCATCATCATCCTCATCATCATCATCATCATCATCATCATCATCATCATCATCATCATCATCATCGTCGTCGTCGTCATCATCATCAGCATCAGCATCATCATCAGCATCATCGGCAGCAGCATCATCAGCAGCATTATAAGCAGCATCAGCACCGTCATCATCATCATCATCATCATCATCATCATCAGCAGCAGCAGCAGCAGCAGCAGCAGTATCGGCATCATCGTCAGCATAATCATCACCACCACCATCATCGGCATCATCATTAGCGTCATCAGCAGCAGCATCATCTTCACCCTCGTTCCTCCACGGCCTCTCTTCCTGCTCCTCCTCCTCCTCCTCCTCCTCCTCCTTCTCCTCGATGCTGAAGGGTTCTGGTCGGCTTGTGGTGATAAACGAAGCCAGGCTTTCCTTTTCATCCCCCCCCGCTTCTTACGTTCTCGAATCTCGGGCGGCCGGTAACAAGTCCCGATGGAACAGCTGAGAAACGAGCGGCTGGAGCAAGGAGAGACCGCAGCAGCCGTCAGAGCACCTGATCTCCGTGCTGCTGCGACCCACCAGCTCTGGCCCTCAGCGTCTGTTGGGAACCCCCAAACCGGGTGGTGAGATACCAGGTGGCGACCTGGAATCCCCAAAAAGGTCACCGCTGGGTTTGGGGACGCGGGGTCACCACCGGGTTTTGTGACTCCTGGACCAACCAATGTCCGGGACATCCTCGGAAAACCGCACGAGTCCCCAAACCGGGTGGTGACACCAAATCGCCCGAGACTCACCACCAGGTATTGTCACCACCACGTTTGGGGACTACCAAGTCTGGCGTGCACGGCACAGAGAAACAAGAACCGGGGGCCCATCCCAACCACGTCGGGTACCCTCTTGCCCCGTGAGACGACACACTCCCCGGGATCTCGTGCAGCCGGTGCGCATCCAAGATTCGCGAGGTCCTTGGGGTCCTTCCCCGACTCGGTCACTGCCGCGGGCGGCGCGCGAACCATTAGCTTAGTTGGCATCGGCTCCAGGTGGGTGGGGGCAGGCAGCAGGCAAGCAGGTCAGAAACGCCTCGCTGCCCTTAACCCTTTATTTCATAGTGTGTCTCGCCCGAATGTGGATCATACAGTTCATGCTGGCATTGGGGGAATCAACATATAGATCGAGCGACGCAAGGGTGACGGTATCGAACAATCGCTGTCGCTTGATAGTCCCAGTCGCTGTTGTAGCCCAATGTCTCTTTTGAAATCTTCCATTGTGGTGGATGCGCCCCCAAGAGATCAAAGTGGGGTTTTCCTGCAGCTGTTTGGGCCCGCAAATCCAGGAAGAAGTCTACGTATGTTCCCCTTGAGGCGCCTCGAGGGAGGCAGGGGCCCCTGATCATGAAACAGCCACGGATATCGACGCTAGGATTTGTGGACCACAATGTGTCATATCGCTTGGCAGAACGCGGAATAATAGGTAGTTTCAGCAGCCGTCTTCCGGTCGCCTTCCTGGCCCCAGTTTTCCCCGGCAAAATGGCCCTTTTCGGATGGGGGCAAAGACGTCGCCCTCTCCGCCTGACGATCGCGTCCTCGAGAGCTGGCAAGGGAATGCTGAGGAGAAAAGTGCGTGTGCAGGTGGGGGCACCGAAGCCACACCGATGGATGATGAGCTGCTGAACGTGCTCGTGAGCCGCAATTGTTTGACATAGGGGAGATACCTGGGGGGCCCGAGGGGGGACCAGGGAGGGGGTCAGATACGCGTCCTCCCCTAGGGGTCCCTGGGCCTCAGAAAGTACCTAGACATGCCAAGAGTGCCCCAAGAGGCCCCCGAGACGGTCCAAGAGTGTACACAATCGCCAAACGATCGGTCCAAAGCGCCTTCACGCCCTCTGAACTGCCGAGGAGGCCTCGTACATTCTCGTGGGGACCTATGAAGAGGGAACTTGAAGGATGTTTCATGTGTATCCGCATCGCTGATGCATCGACGAGGCGGCGCGGTCCTTCGACCATGTCGCCGGGCCCCAAACGGATCTCCAAATGACAACATCGTGAACAAAAGCTGCCGCCTCCACTGGAGGGCTAGGTTCTGCTCCTCCCCCCGAGTTCGTCGCCGGCCACTAGCCTGCGAGCTCAGAGCGCCACTTGGGGGCTCGGAGACGCAGCCGGGGAACTCGGCGGCCACGCTCATGTCCAAGCTCACGGCCAGTCCCATACTCCTCAGCGGGGATAGCGACAGCCTTCTCCTCCTGCTCCTCATCCTCCTCCTCCTCCTCCTCCCTCTCCTCTCCTCCTCCTCCTCCTCCTCCTCCTCCTCCTCCGCCTCCTCCTCCTCCTCTCCTCCTCTCCTCCTCCTCCTCCTCCTCCTCCTCCTCCTCCTCCTCCTCCTCCTCCTCCTCCTCCTCCCTCTGCCTCCTCCTCCTCCTCCTCATCATCCTCCTCCTCCTCCTCCGCCTCCTCCGCCTCCTCCGCCTCCTCCGCCTCCTCCGCCAACTCCACCTCCTCCTCCTCTTCCTCCTCCTCCTCCTCCTCCTCCGCCTCCTCCGCCTCCGCCTCCGCCTCCGCCTCCTCCTCCTCCTCCTCCTCATCCTCCTCCTCCTCTTCCTCCTCCTCCTCCTCCCTCTCCTCGTCCTCCTCATCGAATGGTACTCCCTAACCCGGAGAAGCAATTAAGGAACCCCCCGGCGTTATCATTAGCACCGCGCCGTAATTAAATAATTATTTGGGGGGGTTTTCGCCGAGCGATATTATTAGCACCGCGCAAATGGAAGGAAAATAAATAATTCCAGCGCCCCGCCTCGGGTGGCATCCCAATTAGAATTGTAATGAGAATAAGAAGCCCCTCCCCTGCGACACCCGTGGGACCTGTGGGACCTCACACGGGAACCACTTTGAAACTTGTGGGACCTGCGAGACCTGCGGGACTCCGTGGGACCCGTGCGATCTGGTGTACCCCCTCCTGGTGCCAGGATAACGCTTCCGGGTGCCGGGTGCGTTATCCTTTCACCGGAGAGGGGGGGGGGGGGGTCCTTAATCGCTTACTCGGGTTACTCGCCACATTCCACTCATCCCGCTTCTCCTCCTCCTCCCTTCCTAGTTATCCCTCCTCCTCCGACGACTGCAAACGACGAACTTGAACCTCGACAGGGTACAGTCGGCCAGTGGCTCCACGACCCTTGGCACTTCCCGACGTTCCCCTTCGTGGTCCTGTAACGTCGAGCATCGAGCTGCGCGAGACGCGATAATCTTTGGTCACTGGCACCGCCCCCCGGAAGACCCTTGCCGTGAAGCGCGAATCTATTCGCACTGCTGCAGGTGACCGCGATATTCCTCCCACCACAGGTGTCCAAAATGAAAGGACTCCTAGACGGGGTCGGAGTAGATGGGGCAGGAAGATCGCGCCACATCGCCGATGCATCGCCGATGCATCGGCGATGCCTCGGCGATGCATGGGCGATGTCGGCGGTGCATCAGCGAAGTCGGCATGCAGAAAATAGGGCTCCGCATCAAGCCGCCTCGCCGATGTGTCGACAACGACGAGCACGTCGGCGACGACGACGACGACGGCGACGGCGAGGACGACGACGACGACGACCACGACGACAAGGACGACGACGACGACGACGACGACGACGACGACTACGAGAAGGACGACGACGACGACGACGACGACGACGACGACGACGACGACGACGACGACGACGACGACGGCCGTGGCGCGTCGCCGCGGACACCACCTGGGGGGCCTCGAAACATTGCCTCGTGGGGAGAGGACTCCCGAAGGGCGGGGGGACGGGGGGCCCACGCGCGGCCCCGCGGGTCGGGCTGCCCCCCGCGGAGGCTGCCCGGGAAGGCCTGCGGCGGGGCTGCAGGCCTCCGCGGAGGCTCCCCCCCCGGGCAGCCTCACGGGGGGGCACCTGCCCGGAGGCACCCCCCGCGCGACGCCCTGGCATCAGTCGGGGCCTTGACCTAAGGAACCCAAAAAAAAGGAACGAGGCCCCTTTTTTCCATCGGGAAAAGATCGACTTCCGATCGAAGACAGAAGGGAAACCTGAGGCAAGCTGCGAAACACTCAAGGAACGCGGAGCCCCTCCCCAACGAAGAGGGTTCCTTCTTCAGGGCCCCGACTGTACGATATAGACAGCACGCAGCGAGTCGGAGGCTCGAGGGCGCCCTGGTCGGGGACCCGGGGAGGCCCCCGGGGGCAGGGCAGGCTGCCGGGGGGGGGGGGGGGGGGCTCCCGGGCCGGCCCCCGGGGGCAGGACCTCGCATGGCTATACTTCCCGCGTGGGCTGCTGGGGGGGGGTCTCCCGGGGAGAAAGCCTGGGGGGGGGCCGAGGGGGGAGCACTCCAGGAGGGAGGGGGGGGTCTCCTATATCGGGAGCGGCCAAGAGGGGGGTGTCCAAGAGGGGGGGGTGCAAATCATGACCGGCAGCATGTGCGCGGCCCAGCGGAGGGGCCAGGGACGTAATGGAATAAGAAGAGGCGCCATGAAATCAGAGGAAATATCATGGCCCCCGCCATGATATCCACCCCCCCCTGGTCATCACCCCCCTCTTTGCCGCTCCCGACTATAGAGCAGAGGTGGGCTCCCGGGGAGGTCGGGAGGCCTGTGGACCTCCTGGCGTCGGCTCCGCAGGGCCTTCGGGGAGGGGGGGGGGGCTGGAGAAGGCGCCGCCCTCGCAAGTTCACATCACCGTCATCATCCGCTGAACTGTTCGAATACGCCAGCGCATTTGCTGGGCCACTCGACGGCAAAAAGAGGGACTCCGTCATGTACAGCAACTATGCGATTTGGGCATCTTGGCCACATTCTCGGCAACCAGCATCTAGCACATTGGCAAAGAGGGCTTCTGCCGAATTGATGCAGCGACTCATGCTTCCAGAGCACGAGAACTTCTACCCATTGGTTGTTGGACAAGCGCGCCCTAAATCTGCCTCAGGTGGCGCCAGACCGTACTACCCTGGCCTCCAGTCCCCCTGGATTGGGAGTGAAGGCGAAGGTGAAGCAGAGGGAAGTCGGAGCGGGTTGTTCCCTGGAGCGCGGAGGCGGCAGAGAATACAAGAACCCGCCGCAGACGATGGGATAGAAGACTCGGCGCCAGCAGCGGGGGTAAATTGGGTGACGTTCTTGAGTCCAGAGAAGCTTCTCAGGCTTTGGAATGATGTGCACATTCTTGAATTGTCTTGCTGTTGTCGGCCCAGGACGACCTAGGGGCCTCCAAGATGGCCCCCAAGATGGCCTAAGAGAGCACCCCGTGGCCAAATGATTACCCATGGCGGACTCGAGACGGTTCAAAAAGGCCCCTCGTCGGCACAGGACGGCACGAAGAAAGCCCCAAGCTGGCCAAAGACGGCCTGCAGACGGACCAAAGACGGCCTTAGAAAACCCATGCATACCGCAGGTGGACCAGAAGACAGCCCCACGACGGTTGCAAGAGACCCCGCCGACGGCCAAGAGGGTCCCAAGGCAGCCCAAGAAAGCACCGAACCCGCCGAATAGGGTCCCAAGACGGCCAAAAGTGCCCCACCCAAGGGTTACCCAAGACTGCCCTACAGGAGCCCCAGAAAGGACGGAAGAAATTTAAGAGAACATCGAAGACGAACAAAAACTATCGACACGACGCGGAAGAGAATGTCACACGAGATGACACACGTTACGGCCTTCCGTTCGCCCCCGGACTGTCGCCACCCGAAGTGCCGGGCTGTCACGGTGGCGGGGCTTGCCGCAGACAGCGGAACTTCCTTGAGCCAGAGGAGCTTTTCAGAAACCCATCACACCTTGGAGGGAAAATGTGTCTTAGCGGGGACTATGATGTGGGAGGTTGCGGGCTCACACGCCAGAAACGCAGATAAAAATTGAAACACACGAGTGATACAGAGGCAGCATTGATCAAACAAGGAGGGGGAGGAAGAGGAAAATAATGAAGAGACATTGAATGATAATGAAAGGATCCAGACTGGATGATGATCAAAAGTACTTAAGAGCGCGAACGATTGAAGTCCGTGATGCATTATACAAAAGAAGGGATGCCCCAAGTGTCCCCGAGGTCCCCAGAGGTCCTCGGAGGCACAAAGGGGCCAAGAGCGCCCAACAGCTGTTTTTTGCAAATCTTCGAACACATGGTGCCTGTATAAGCGTCTCATGGTGTGAAATGAGCGTGATCGGTTCCGAACTCCCACGTACACCCCGAAGGCTGGATCGCGGGTCGATGGCACTGCGGGTGAGCAAGACAGCCTCTTCCAGAAGAGATCACCTCACCTCAAAGTCCATATATTGAACACCTCCCTGGCACGGACGTCCCATGGTCATGGTAGGCGCACGCTGTTTTCTCAATAGGATGTGGTGCATGCAACCGCCATATCGTGGGCTATTGCAAATGATTGTCGCATTGCGATCAGCGCCAACGTGTGCTTGCTCACGAAAGCCCTTCAATACGACGCATGCAGTGTGATGAACGCTGACACAATTGTAAACACACGTTGGGCTAACCCACGTCGTAAAAATTAACGAAGTTGTCATGAATGTTTCAAGTCCTGTCAAGACTGGGTGTTGGTCCCACAGGTTGTCCCTCGAGACCTGCTTTTCAACCTGAGATGTTTTGTTCAAAGTCCGTGGGAAGGCCCAAGGGTCCCGAACAACAAATGACAACACCCCGATACCCGTTTCCCACGGATCCGTCCTTTCATGGCGACAACACGCAGAGGGCGGAATTGACTCGCTGCGCGGCAGGTTCACGTCTTGACAAGATGCGCATACTCCAGATTTCGTAATAAAGGGAGGGGGGTCTCACTTCGGGGGGGGGTCTCTTCCAGGCTATCTTGGAGGGCCTGGGGGGGTCTGGGGACGATGTTTTGGAGGGTTCTCCCACGGGGGAGGTCTGAAATGGCTTGTCTTGGGGGTCCAGACCCCCTCCCTTTTATTACGAAATCTGGAGTAAATTTTTGGCACCGCCTGCCACGTGGATCGTTCAATCTTGAACGGCCGCGGCTGCCCGGCAAGTCGCTCGCTCGAAAATCGGCCGATGCTGCGCCCGGGGGCGCCGCCGCGTCGACGCGGCGCGAACCTATCGATCGGCGAGGCCGCGCCGTGACGACCACGTCGCTGGTTTCTGGGACTGCGTGGATCGTCCACTCGGGTCGGGCGAAAGGGGGGGATAGCAGAGGGGGGGTTTGAGAATCAGCTCACGTAGCTGATTTGTCCCCGCGCCTCCC